ATATCATTGTGGGAAAATTCGACTACCAGTCCTTCATCACCTTAGACGAAATAGGGTGAATACATCTTATATCACTGGCTTGCCCCTAAATACGGTATATATACGGTATATCTGAACTCTTTGCATGAACATAGACGCAGGCATACGAGTGTGTAAGGGCATAAAACATACGGCCTGTAATCGCGGATGCGCATAGTCGCATGCCAATGGCGTGGCAGGGGCAAGGCGAGCTGAAGTTGCCAATAGTGTGGTGCTGCCGTAGGAGACCTGTATCAGAATTCCGAACAAGTCCTATCGCAAGGCGATACATGAGAGCAAAAGATAACGATACTCGAGCCCTTGATGTAAGTCAGCAGCTCGAGAGAAGATAGCTAATTATTGAAATAACAAGCAGATAAGACCAGAGAGTATAAGCAAAGAAAAGTTGGGTCTCAATGCAGCTTTTGGTTTGTCCATATTTCGAGTGAAAGAGTGCAATGAATAACCTCTAGAGCCAGCTCTGGGTCGGATTTACTGGAACAATCTGGTTGATGCTATTCCTAGGGCACCAATCTCCCTAGATTTCAATGAGTGTCCTATGCTTTCGTATACCATCTGAAGTATATCATCTTCTTATTAGTCACATAGTTTGACTCGAAATGGAAGTGGACACAACTAGTATAGAAGTTGTTTGACCTTGTTTTCGCAACTTGCTCATATTGGTAGGAAGACCTAGAACAGCGCACCTAGTCCGGAGTCCATTGTATGTATGATCATTTCCAAAGTTGGACCATGGACGTGGTACATTCCCAGACGTTTCGCTGGCAATGTCATTTAGTCTTGCTGCACTTAACATAATACTACAACTCGTCAAAGAGACAAGTGAAGCCGATCCTATGACCAAATGTGTGCTTAACAATTGTGGTATCTCTCCTATCATGGACTCTCCTGTCCACTCTCCTATGTCCTCGCATCACGCCTTCACTATCACAATTTTTTTCCTTTCTTATTTAAATATAATGTTTTGTGTCCTTTTGGACATACAATGGACTCCGGGCCAGGTGTGCTCCTCTAAGTCTTCCTACCAATATAACCAAGTTGTGAAAACAAGATCAAACTACTTATATACATCGAAAGGAGACTGTTATCACACAAAAGGCCACACCATCTTGGTCTTCATATCTTCGACAGCTAGTAAAGTACAGGCGGTCTGAGCTAATCAGTGGTATGGAGCGAGGATGAGGAGGATGCAAGAACCCCGAGATAATTTACATTTTTGAACTCATCTGAACATTTCCTCGGCCCAGAAAGAACAGTATCTCTGCCAGTCAACATGCTCATCCCTGTGACCGCAGACAAAGCACTTCTCCTTACTAAGAGTATATGACACTCTTAGGCAGACTTGAAGCTTATTTAGAAGTAGTCGCCTCTGAAGCCTAACGCGTATATCAAGCAAATTATACTATATTGAATATGATTATCATTTACAGACGAGTTTGCTCAAAAATGAAGCAAAATGCATCACCAGGTCTGTAAAAGATGAATCTCCGACTATGCAAACAGCAAAGTATTCCCAGTTAAACTAATGGCATTCAACCTCAGCCGGCCTATTTGATATCACCGTCAGAACAATGTTGGCCAGATTAGTTAAAATAATTACATATCAAGTGGATTTTATCATATAAGGAGCGTTCTAAGAGATATCACTTGCCACAACCGTGTTGCTAATATCAGTGATTTCACCCCATGATTGCATAAATAGTGAACTTTGATACAACCTTTTAAATGAGAAAAAAACGAATAAATATGGAATCCTGCCAATCTTGTCCTGCTCCTTCATGATGTACAATACAAATTTCAAACGAAGGTTAAGGGTTGATGTAAGCTAAAACCTAGGGTTAGGGATACCGAAAGCTTTAATTAGCTTCTTTTTGACCAAATGAACCTGTCGCATTTTAGCATCTATGAGATGAAAACTAAACACACTAGGCAGTTTATTTAACTTTGGGGCATAATAGACAAAGGAAAATATGCGGGAATACCCTTGCGGAATAGAGCTTTCACAAAGTTTGTGGGCCAGATTTGCCTCAGAGAGGTCAAGCATAGCAAATAGGTGTTGATTCGCAAGACTACAGTCTTTGCCGACTTGGACACAAAGTCTTGGAGCAAGAATCCACATTGTTTCGAACAAGTGTATTCTTTAAATCTTCTTAGATCAAGGTGGAATGATTTGGTTATACTTCATATTCGCGTGCATGTTCGCTGTAACAAGGCCCTAAGCATAAAAAGAGGTTTTGGTCACCCTTCAATGTGGTCGAACTAGCTCCACGTATACATAATCAACTTATACATCTTGTTAAAAAAAGGAAAAAAGCCAATGATGTGATGGAGAGATGCCCCCAGGAAAGATTAGACTCATATCGAAACTTGCTGCAAAACTGAAAAAGATAATTTTTTTAAATCGGCGCAAGATTACTCCTTTGCATCACGTTGAGACATTGTGGAATCCGGGTACATTAAGGAGATTCCGATATTTTGGCAAGATAAAAGAAAGATCCAGATTCCATGCTAGCCTTGGAAACCATCAGTGCATAAGTCGAATTGTCATGGGAAACAGTATAATCGTGTACGAATGAGCCATCAGACGCACGCAAGGTGAATAGGAAGAACATTAAGATTTATTTAGTTCAGTTGCCCTTAGTTCAAATGATAGAATTAACAGAATGACATGTGGATCAACGCACCGGTTTCTTTGTTTTCTTCGCTTTTTGTCCGCCTTTGACTCAACTGGAGGCCGAGCGAAGTCGATGGTCGGGCGCGCACTGTTCCACCAGGCACCGCCAGTTGAGAGCTATTTTTACGGGCAAAAAGAGGAGATGCTACAGCGGGACTAGACGATCGGCCTGAAGATACGAGCATTGAGGGAGGCATAAGAGGTGGAGGGAGCAGAGGCGGCAGAATTGCTGGTGTTGTAGAGGGCCGCTGAATTGAAGCCCCAAAAGGACAAGAAAGAATAGGGCCAGATTTACCCGCAGAAAGAGGCAGCACACCCGGAGCCAATTCGCCAATTGGTCTGATGTTGACCTGAAACACAAAAGTATAACTTAACACATGGAAAAGGAAGAGCATTAGAAGTACAGTTGGCTAGTGCTAATAGGGGCTGTGATTGAGTTCTACTTCGTGCGGCTTGGCCTATTGCCAAACATAAAACCAATTATACAAAATGCATTTCTAGCATTACATATTTTGGGGTATAAATACTATACCAAGAATGTGTGAACTTGAAATTGTTATGAGACAAGGATTTACCCTATCGTTTTAATAGTCAAGGCGCCGTGAATAAGTCAAATATGTGAGGATGCAGGCACAACAGATATTCTTTTAAAGACCAACCAATAATTAAGCTAGATCCAAAACCCAGATCGGAATGAGGCAATACACGAAAATTTGATAGGCCTCTTTTAAATAAAGAAAGCACAATGACTCGTAGCCTATGTTAATTGAGTCTTCTGTTTAATGGTAAAAAGTAGGAGAAAATAGCTTTAGCGATTCAGTTTGATATTAGTTTGACCACCTCGAAATTCAAAGGCTTCATTTCATTCGAAGTTATGAAGACCAAGATGGTGTGGCCATTAGTATGGTCGCGGTCGCCTTTCGGTGTATAGTAGATGTTTTACTTTGATTTCGCAACATAGCCATATTAACAGGACCTAGAGGAACGACCTTTGTCCTGAGTTCATAGGATGCATGATAATGTCAAGAGTTGGACCGTTCCTGAATCCTCCTATTATGACCTCTCCACTATCACAATAACTTATTTGCTTACTTAATCCAGGTTCTTGTGTGCCACTTTAAGCGGATTTCATGGGACCTATTCACACACCCTGCTGGCCTTCTCACCATCAACCCCCTTGTGTGGGATTGTTGATTTGCCCTATTAGTTCGCAATCCTCTTCCCCCAGGTCCTATCAGTCTTCCTCTTGTTCTGTAGGATCCGTATCTTATCACCCTAGTTCAGCTATTTCACTAGACCACTGCCACCTTATCTGTGCTACTCGAGACGTTATTTCCCACACTCTGCCTCAAGCCTTTGACGCCCGCCTCACTTAGCACGTCCCCAAAGTTCGGAGTTTGAAGCTATATTGGAGACTAACATGAGACTAAAGATCCCCTTGTTACAGTTCCACATATACACCGGGTAATTCTCATAGTCAAACCTTTATTTCGCGAACCGTCTATGAGCAAACATGTTATAATTGTTTTGATTAAGCTCCCTGTAGACGTCTCCTCTTGATTGCTAATAGTTATTCAGTGGCCTCCACCCTGCGATTTCTCTAACTCATGCCCAAAATTTTTCCTGAATCCAGTCTTCTTTTTGCTGTATTTTCTGTTGCATGATCTTCTCCGAGTCTGTTTAGGCAATAAGCGCAGTTTTCTCTAATTCTGCCTTCTTCAAGTCTCCTCATCATCAGATTTTTTCAGTCAGGGTATCGATGGCTTCTCGCTTCTTGCGTCTTCTTGTATTTTCACCATATGCAGCCAGCCTTTCTGTAGATTTTCAGTCGATTTCGTGTCCAGTCAGTACAATGCGTTCCTCTATTTCTGATCTTTCCGTATCCCTGTTTCTGCAGTCTTTGGTGTTCCTTGATTCATAGGCAGATTGTAATCCCCGTTTCGTCAAGATTCTTCTGTTCACAGTTGTCGAATTTGATGAGATAAACTCTCGAGCAATCCAGTTTCTCGACCTTCTCGCGTTGCATCGGCAGGCTGATAAAGAATGATGCCTTTTCATTTCCTATTGACCTGATACTCCATTGTCTTAGTAATGGTCGCAATTTTAGGCTCAGTTTAGAAGAGGGCAGACATATATACTTTTGGTCGTCCTCCCATGCCCGATCTAATTTTCGTAAAATACGAATTAAAATTTGCACTTTATTACACATAAAACTCTTTCTATAAATTCTCTGCGGTACTCATTACTAAAGCAAATCCGAGTTAGTTTTTTCCAATTCCTCGTTTCAGAACTCAGTGTCCGTCAGTCTTAAGCTTCTGATGATCAAACTCCTCAGTAGTTCGACCTCCAGTTTGTAATTAGTGTGAGAGTGAAAATTAAGGAGTATCCCTGCATATGAATCCTTTCTGAATAGTCTCCTCATGAGTGTCCCGTTGGAGCGAATGACGTCAATATCCAGGAAGAATAATCGTTTATCTTCCTCCTCCTTCTATCAAGTTAGTTTATAAAACTAAGGAACTTATCCAAATTTTTCTTACAATGCGATCAAAGTGCAAAGTAGTCGTCCAAGTATTGCATACTCACTCTTGGTTGCAGCGGCGAATTCTCGAATTCTTTATCTAATCTGTCCATGAACACACTTGCCAAAATGTGTGAAAGTGGAGACCCCATCGGTAGTCCAAATATTTACTCATAGATGTTGCAATTGAATGTAAAGTATCTGGTACTTACTGTCAGGTTGATTAGTCGTGTTGACGACTCCTTCCGTATCCGCTCTGCTTCCAGGAGAGCCTCCTCTGATTCCAAGACCACCAGCAGGCCGGTGGCTGCCTACTCGCCTGACAAGTTTGTTTACATGGATTGTACGCCAAAACTCACCAACATTTCCGTCCCTAAAAGTCTAATATTTTTTATCCTTTGAGAAAATTCATATGAATTCTTCACGGTATGCGAGAGCCTGCTATTAACTTCCTTGAGCTCTAAGCAAATGAATTTCGCTAGCTTTTATGTTGCTTCATGCTTGTTTTTGACTCTTCAGTAGTCCATAGGCTGTCGGTGGTCTTATGTCATTTTTTATTAGAATTCTTCACTCATATGTCAATTTCTCCTTTATTATGCATTTCCTATGGCATATTCTTCGGTGTCCCGTTGATCTTCATGGTTGGATCCTTCCTTAGTATTTAATAAGTGTTCCGGTCACCTATAGTACTTTCCATTTTCTCCATGTACTTTTTCCTGTCCATTACCACCGTTGCACCTCCCTTATCCGCCGAAAGAACTATTTAGTCATTATTTTGTAATTTGTTGCGTATCCAAGTCAATCTGCTCCTGTGTATTGGCTCTTGATGTGCCAGGATTCGTGGGATTATTTTTATCTCCATCTCCAGCTTTATTTAATTTTCCATTTTCAAATGCCTAGATTCCCGAAGGGCTTCATATATCGGACATCATCCCTGCAGCCTTAAAAGTAGAAAACATATTCATGTAGTTGCAGAGAATATGTAATCGTAACCAGCGGGAATGGAGGCCCAGGCTGTCTTAAGATGGCGAGATTTGTGATAAAAAATATGGATAAAAAATTAAGAGTAACCAGAGCCAAAAATGAGTTATAGGTATGGGAGGATTAGCCAGAGACAAGACAAAAAGACGGCAAGTGGAAATGTATTATCCAGAAAAGGTGAAAGGCAATAAACAGACCCGAAGTAAGGGACTTATGGTAAGCTTCTGAAGACCAGAGAAAAAGAATTAATTCGGAGAATGCGAAGAACAACTTATAAATAAGTAGCTAATGAAGAAAGAAGGCTAAAACTAGAAAGGCAGCCACAGTCCGGAGGAATTTCGATGAATAGTTTATGATAGATAAATAAATCCAATTAAGAAAAAGTATTCATATTTTAAGTCACGTCATAATTGTGGGCTGAATAATGGAATTATTAGGGCTACGGTTATAAGACGCTTAAGACAAAAACATGAGGATTATTGGACGAGGGACCGAATAATGTTGGCGTACCTTTCATTCTGCTTAAAAAGAATGGTGAAAGTGTTTATTTAAATTAATTTATCGAAAAAAGAAGGAGGGTTGCCTAAGCTGTTACCGCTGGATTGTGTGAGAAAGACTTCAGATCACCTTTCTCCAGCCCCGATGAAGCCATGCTGAGCTTTATGCCATAGCAGATATAGTCAGTCGAGATGTTGGGCCATCATGCATCTATTAAGGGATTCCTCCAAACCCAGATTTTCTTCACCTGGTCTCATCTACCCTATCAGTCACGAGAGATTATTCACATTACCAGCCTTGAATGAATGAAAGCAAGTGTATGAGTCACAATTGGACAACCTACCTAAATTGTAGCCAATAGTTAATTCGATATTACTCTGAGTTTTTTTCAATTAAATCGTTTTATCTTAACTCAATTTGTTCTTTCAGAGCCTTTTGTTCTACGAAACTTTCTTATATTGTCTATGTTGTATCCTTTATTCAGATGACTTTTTTATGACTTTCTTGATCAGCGACTTTCTATAAATTTGTCCCAAAATAAGCCACGTTCTCGCTGACAATTACCTTTTGCAATCTATTCATTAGATCTCATGAGGTTATGGAATGGACAGCTACCTTGAGATTCCATTCTCTCCCATTTTTGATCTTGAAGCCGACCTTCCAGCTGCATTCCAGTTAATGCTGTGATAGTTAAATGTAATGTAGTATGCCGTTTCAAATCTTTCTGTATTCATGC